AATTTATGTTAAAAGGAGAAAAAAAATAATAATACATTTTTATTAAATTAAGTAGTTATTACATTTTTTAGGCTTACAACTCTTGACTATCTATATTATCTGTGGTCATAGAGTTTGCTCATATAAATCTATTACCTTGAAAAATATATACTACATTCAAATTAATTCCATTAATTAAAAAAAAAGCTGTATCTGTTACACCATATTTAATAACCTGAATCTTACAGCATGCTACTTACAACGTTGTTTCTATATTCTAGTTTTCTACTATTTGTTTTAACCGTTACATGACAGAAATCAATAGTCTACTGATAACTGAAAACTATATAACAAAACATCCATCGTCAACTTATCATCCATCCAATTTAGCTTCGCAGAAACGCGCTTGTAACAACTTAAATGTCAGGGGCCAGCTGTAAACCAGTGCTGTGTCCTTGCACAGCGTGAACTGAGCTGGTAGCCTTTGCTACATTTTGTGACTTACGTGTTTTTGTAATGCACCTTGTATCCCTGTATGTTTTATCTATCTCGTGTGACAAAAATAAATGATTTAAATGACAGTTGCAGGCGTATATTGGCGGTGATAGTCACTGCTCGCCTATATATATATATATATATATAGAAAAAAAACATGAGTAAAATTGCCTAAAGATATTAATTTCAAATACTTTTTGTCCTTTCACCAAGCAGACGTTAACAATAGACGTTACATATCCGAGTTTTATACAAGTAGGCTTAAAGGGTTGTATAGGCTTAAAGGGTGTATAGCTGTTTCTACCCAAAAGATTGATTGAAATCTGTTTACCTATGAGCTACTCTAGTTTATGTTTAACCCCTAAGGGATATTGTAGGCGTAAGCGTGTACTCGTTATTCCAATGTAGTTATTTCTACGATATAAAATACATTATATTTCAAGGAGTAAAGAAAAACAGCACTTTGCTAGTAATGGTAGTGGTGCCATCCCAGTTATACCAGGCCTATAAAATTGGGGTTTCTCGCCAGATTATGCGATTAAAAAAAAAACGAATTGTGAAAACACCATTAACTGCTTGTTTTTCTTTTGTAAAGACATCACCTCACTAGGAATATATCCTGTGTCGCGCGGGACTTTACAAATAAACATGAAACAGACACAAAGAACAGCTATACTCAGAACAACAATTTGTGGATCATACAAAGAGTTGTCCTATGTGGGGATCGAACCCACAATGCAGTCGTCAATGCATATTTACATATAAGTTTTGTTTACATGAAAATTCAAAATATAAACTGTAAATACAATAAAATGGGGTTTGAAATTAACGTTCAAATTAAAAAAAATATTAAAATAGTCCCTTCTAGTCGAATCTCAGATATCTGTATCATGGAAAATTTATTATAATTCATTTAAGCTAACTACCCGTCAATGGCAGAAGTTTTGATTGACGCAGTTCATCCAACAATTGTATATATTTTTAAACGTACGAGTAGTAATGTACCATATGCTTTTATCAATAAAGTCTCATTTTGCTTTTACACTTTATAACACATACGTTAAAGATGAAACTAAGGGAACTGGGCAAAAATATTGAAGGCTTTTTTGATATCTCTCTCTCTCTCTCTCTCTTTTTTAGGCTACATGGCTTCGTAATCATTTTTAAGAAACTGTAACCTTTTAAGGATGGAGGAGATCATACGCAGTCTCATTTATTTATTTATTTTTATTTGAAAATAAAACTTTTATTTAATGTGCAAAGTTTGAATGTATGTATGTATGATATACAGAAAACCGGTGTTGGGTAATTCATTCGTTGCTTTTCACTTACTGTGTGAGGTTACCGGAGCCTGGGTGTGGGTGTCTGTACCCTCCACCTGATTCTGGGAGGGGAACACTTCTGACTCTTGAGGTGCAGGCGTCCATGGGCAGCGGCAGTAAGTTGCCATCTGGTGACGTGACATTGAAAAACCAGTTGAAAGAACAATCTGGGAGTGCCGACAAAAGCGAAAACTTAAAAAAAAATAGATTTTTTTTTGGTTATAACAGGATTTATTTTTTGTTTATTTCGATTCGAAAAGTTCCGACATGAATATATATCTATGTTGTACGTATGTACACTATATGTATTTTAATCATATACAGTTATATTATCAATGTATTTCAACCCAAACTCAACTCTCGTTAAACGGGGCCAATATATGTAGATACTTATATACAGAGGTGTCGGTAACGGTAACAGTGTCGCGTTGTGTCGTGTTGTTTGTTGTTCAAAAATGCCAACGCTCCTAAAGAAGTTTTTACTTAAAAAATCATAGCCGTAGTGTTACTTACAAGCCATTTAAAAGATTGAAGTGATAATGTCGGGTTCAGCGTAGCTCAAGTGTCTAAAGCAGTATATTTATTTATTTATTAGTTATTAATTTATAAATTTTTGCACAAGTATATGCATCGGCGGTATGCGTGCACGTTCATGGGCGGCGATAGTCACTTTCCATCAGGTGAACCGTCTGTTCGTCTTCCCCACTCTAACATAAAAAAAGGAGCTTTTGGCCACATAAAAAAAATACCCCGCTGGCCAGCGGTATTTGTAATTGTTAGCGGCGCACGGTGGTATATTTTTTCTAAATCAGTTAGGATAACTATTAAAAATTTGCAATACATGATATACCTAATTACTACATAAATAATGGAAAAACGCTTATATGATAAGAGTACTAAATATTTAATAGAATTTTTCATCATCACCATCAACATCAACCTTTAATAGTCCTCTGCTGGTCATAGGCCTCACCTCAAAAAGGAGCGTTTGGCCATACCACACTGGTCAGACGTACTAGTTTATTTCAAGTTTTTCTTCTATTTGAAGTGCTGTTGTCCTGAAAAATATACCACAGTACCCTGCGCCTCTAACAATTACAAATACCAATATTCCGGTAACAGCTTTGTTCGCTCGTAACAGCCCGTGATTGTCCGCACTAAACAATAGGGCTCTAATAGACTGTTGTAATTAACGATTATGGGCAGCCATTGGCATATGTAGTGCGGTTTGCTGCCGAATCTATGCCCTAAACGTGAGGTCCATCTTTATTATTCAACAATGTAATTACACTGAATACTGTGTAATTAAATTTTATGATCTTAAATGGGGGAATTTAGATTAGATTTATTTGCTGTTTATTATATACTAGATTAGGCCCGCGGCTCTGCCTGCGTGTATGTCGGTTATCGCGGTAAATAGTAAGCTATATCCTTCCACAAGAATCAAACTATCTCCATGCCAAATTTATTTAAATCACTTCTGTGATTATTGATTATCCATACAAACTTCCACCCCCTCTTTTTACCCCTTTAAAGGCGGATTTCTGGGATATAAACTACCCTATGTCCTTTTCCGGGACTCAAGCTATCTCTATATCAAATTTCATCTAAATCGGTTCAGCGATTTAAGCGTGAAAAAGTAACAGACAGACAGATAGACCGACTAACAAACTATTAGGGATGAAGTTTTCTTTTACTTTTATAAGAAGACTATCATGTACAAGTCATGATTTTTTTCTTAGTTTTTTTTTAGTGAAGGCAAACGAGCATACTGGTCACCTGATGGTAAGTAACCCCCAGGCACAGGTGCAGTGCGCCTGGCACGGAATGCGGCCCACCTAGAAGGTGGCGGTGCCGTTCTGCCTAACTTAGAAGGTTGATGAGGGAAAGTGTTTTCCCCTGGTATAGGGCATGATTAGTCGTGGTGTCGATTCGGGGAGGTCCTCGAAAGCACATGGTCCGGGTCCTCCCAGAGTAAGATGTCTGGGTGGTTTTAAGTGGAATCGCCACATACTCCTGAGTCCTCGAGGAGCAGGAGATCCGAAGCAATTTTGTACTCCGTCAACAAAAGATAGTAACTACCACCGCCCATGGACACCCGCACAACTTAGAGACACTAGTTCCATCCCTAGAGTCACCCCAGAACAAATAATCCGTGAGGACATGGTATTATTTCAGCCCATTCCTGCCGAAGCAGATCACCACTCATATGTTCTGCAAGTTTAATCCACATCAACTAATTCTCGACAGCAAGCGCGTTTGGCGTTGCGATTGGTGAAGATTTCAGTGCAGGCCAATCGCAGCTGGCAACACGGTCACCACGACGATCTAGTAGATGTGAAATAATCTCGCACTTGGGTCTCTGAACTGCAAGTACAGTTCGATTTGAGTCACATTTCCTCGAAGGGTGACGCAACGCTGAAATGTGTTAACTGGTGAAAAGTTAAAAGTGTTCTCTTGGGCACTGCGCCAAGACGACATTCCGTTATGTCTAGACGAGAGTTATAATATAATATTTATTGTTTTTTTTAAATAAATGTTTTATAAACTTAGTTCAACCGTCTACGTAGGCTTTTAACAATGACATGTAATATATGCTGTTATATTAATTGCAAGTAATGGGCCTTTAGGATCGATTCTCTAATCATTTTTTTGTATGACTTTATGGCAAGTAATAATAATATACATTTCGAACATCTGACACACAACGCCATCTATTTTTAAGCTAAGCAGAACTTGTACTATGAAAACTAGATTGACTGATGATAGAATACCCTTTTTTTTGTAAATATATACATATTAAACATAAAAAAACGCCCAAAGTCCGAAACAAATATTTGCTGATCAACCAAACATTTGGTCCGACCTTTGAATCGAAACCAAGACCTCACCGCAGGTCAGTATAAATAGTCAGGAATGTTCAGAACAAGCAAAAATTTCGCTAATCATAAAGGTTTTTGGTACGTAACATCTCTCCCATCGTTTTCCTGCTAAATGAGGTAATGTAGGGACGGAAATGTGTAACTAATAATTTATTGTGGGTGAGATGTCAGATATAACACATCATATACCAGGAACCGCAAAGAGAAGGATTTGCTTAATACGAGGCTCAAAAATTAGTTGAAATAATGCTGACTCTAATGATAAAATAGTTTCTAAACCACACTTGTTCAAAAAAAAAAAAAACATTTATTTTTCAGCTAGTTACACTGCCTTGAACTCTGAGTATGGAGACTTGGTTAATGGTATGTCTCTCCATAAATCTGGGGTGAGGTAAGCATAGGTCTTGGCAATGGCAGCATATGTAGCTTTAACAAAGTTTCCAAGAGTGCCAGTGGAACCACGAGCAGAGGTGTAACAGTCTTGGACTCCAGCCATCTGCAAAAGCTTCTTAGGGACTGGGGCAGACACAATTCCAGTACCACGAGGAGCAGGAATCAATCTTACTGTTACAGAACCACACTTGCCAGTAACCTTGCAAGGTACAGTATGAGGTTTGCCGATCTTGTTTCCCCAGTAACCTCTGCGGACAGGCAGTACAGATAGCTTGGCTAGGATGATAGCACCACGAATGGCAGTAGCAACTTCCTTGCTGCATTTCACACCCAGTCCAATGTGGCCGTTGTTGTCACCAATGGCAACAAAAGCCTTGAAACGAGTTCGCTGACCGGCACGAGTCTGTTTCTGTACAGGCATGATCTTCAGAACTTCGTCATTTAAAGAGGGGCCAAGGAAGAAGTCAATGATCTCGAACTCTTTGATTGGTAGAGAGAATAGGTAGATGCTTTCTAATTTATCGATCTTTCCGTCACGGACAAGGCGTCCAAGCTTTGTTACAGGAACCCACTCTTTTTGATCTTCCTTTCCACGTCCACGGCCGCGGCCACGACCGCGTCCACGGCCACGAGGACCGCCACGGCCTCTATCACCACCACGAGAGCCAAAACCACCGCGGAAACCGCCACGTCCACCGGCTGGAGCTGCGTCCGCCATTGTTGAACAGTGAGCGCAATCGTATGAAGGTTTTGTTTAAAGTAAAAGTTAAGCTATAGAGTTTGATAACATAATCGTGGTTCTATGGAAGTAATAACAGAATTCAATTTTTGAAATGTCTAAACTAAGATACGAGAATTTTGTAGTTCAGTTAAATGAGATTTATAACATACGAGTACACGGTACAGTTATAAACGAATCAAACATCAAATCCCTTACTGGGAATAAGTGCGTTGAATCCCGACATACAACTGAGACCTATTAAAATGTTTATTGGCGTGAAATTGGGGCCAAATGCTATCTCTTACTCTTCGGCGGAAATAGATATTTTATCTTTCTCGTGTAAATGGATAAGTCTCTTCTAGCGAGTGAATCTGATTATGAAGTTGTTCATATATATTATTTTAGTTATTCATATATGCCGTGGGAGAGCCATGCTTCTGCACGAATGGGCCGGCTCGACCGGAGTGATACCACGGCCTTACAGAAAACCGGTGTTAAGCAATTCTTTCGTTGCCTTTCACTGAGTAAGTGAGGTATCCTCAGCCCAAATCCCAGTGCCCAAATCAAAGCCCAAAATTGTGACTTTTGAGTTGCAGGTGTCCATGGGCGGCTGTAGTTGCTTACCATCAGGTGACCCGTCTGCTCGTTTGCCCCCTTACACCAAAACAAATAAAAAAAAAGTTGCTTTATATTTGTGAAGAAGGACATTGACGTGCTTATTGTAATGCTAAACTAGTTTTGGATCCAACAGAGGCACTTCCTCAACGAGCGAAACCTCCTGCTGTGATGTCTCAAACGTCGTCGACCTCTACCTAGTCTTCCACATATTGTTTACGCTAGTCGGTTATGCTTCCATTGTATTATGTGTTTTCGTATTATTATTAACAGGTTCTGAGGTACAAATAATAGTAAATAGCCTAAACCGAATAATACATCAAGACTTAATCTGTTGAGTCTTTGTAAGTAGGCTTTAAAACTCTTTCATACTTTTAATAATATAAACAAAAACATTAAAAGGAAAACAAATTTATTAAAAGAAATGTGGTTAATTATTTTTTTATGTAAGCTGTCAAAAAATACAGCTCAAAATGTCTATGAAAGAAAACCCCTTTGAGGTATTTGTTCTTTCTATTTTAGTAAAAACCTCCTCCAAATTTAAAGTAATTCAAATTATTTTTGACAGAAACCTTTGAAATATAAAAATGTTTTCCGTTTAAATAAATTTTATAAAAACTTTGTTGAAACTTATAGACAATGCTGTCTTTCACTTCTGTTTGTATAATTGAAATTAAAGATGTTTATTAAAAAAAGTTGGAACGAAGTTCCTTATCGCGCGTTGTGAAAAAATTCTCACGAAAAGTTGTAACGACACTTTTTATGTCAGTCATTCAGCGCCATCTATCGAATAGATAGGAAATCATTACTTTTCATCTCAGTATTTATTTTGAATTGTCACTTGTCAGTAATTCAGCGCCATCTATCGAATAGATAGGAAATCATTTCTCAAGGAGATTTTACCAATGTATAAATTGTTTTAATTAGAAACCAACTGAAAAATATGTAGGTAATAGCCGCTTTCATAGATGGCGTTGTAATTAAAATCGTGTCGAATCAGTTTTACTCGATCGTCACAACTTCGTTCCTATCGGGTGTCCCACGTCACCACACGGCTTTTTTTTTAAAGCCAGAAAGTCGCACTCGCACACAAACTCTTACGTTAATAAAAAAAGAAAACAAATATTAAATGGCATACAGAATTCGTTTTACTTTAGTCGTTTCGAACAGTGAAAACGAAATCAATTTCTGTTGTTGTTCTGTTCGCTGTTCGCTGTTCCCCCATTTTCCTTGTCTTAGTTCGAGTTCCTTATTGTATACGTTTATAATATATATCAATTTCGCCATATTAATTAAAATCCGAATGCTTTTGCTCAAATGAAAAAGTATTTAAGTATGCTGTCTAATGACATCTACTTTTTTTTAACATGCTAACGTAATCAAGTCAGCCTATAATTAATTGATACTGTTTGGAAAATTCATATTTAATTAAATGTTTTTTTTTTTCATTGTTTCGGAAGTCTGTTTGTTGTATTCACACGTAATCCAATTACCGCAAGTTATTTTATCACAAACAAGCTGGGCCTCGCAACTTTGTCTGCTTCGGTCAAATCGAATACATTTGCCCAGTTTTTGCAAATTTTTCAAGGATACTTGGCTCCTATTGGTGATGTTACATGATGACAACCTTCCACGAAAAATAGGCTATCCAACACCGAAAAAAAATTTCAATTCAAACTAAAAGTTCATGAAATTAGCGGTTCAACCAAACAAACAAACAAAATCTTCAGCTCTATAATATTCGCAGTTTAAAAAATAACGCCCGCATTAAGAATATATCGCACATAGAACTCCCAGACTCAGAACAACAATTTGTGAATCACATAGAGTGTAGCCCCATGTGGGGATCGGACCCACAACACTCAGCGTAGTGGTGAGCGGCGTGGCGACGGCTTAAACCACTACGCCATTTGTGCAGTTACATATTAGATTATTAAAAAAAAAAATTAAACACATTATAATGTTCAATCGCCAAAATACTAGATACTCGACTTGTTCTTAAGGTTAGGAAGGGTTCAGAGCGCAATATGACATCCTCATATTTATCTATGATTATATACTAATGGCAGAACTAGAAGCTTTTATGAAATACAGGTTTTGTATTAATCTCTTCTAGGACAACAGGGCGTGAATTTATTACTATTACTACTGAAAGAAAATATCAAATGTTCTAATTTATCCCACACACGCGCACATATACACGCACACACATATACTCGTAACTTCCTCTCGCTGCAATCGCTGTCGTCTTCATGCTCTCGTGTGGTACTTTCTTGGCAGTTTCCCGGCACTCCCCAGTACTTTCATAGTACTCCAGCGACTGTGTGAAGTGCCCATTACGCTATGACATATCGTTTTTTTGTTTTAGGGACGTGATGAAGGAAAGTAGCTATTATTTTATACTAGTTGAATGATATTTGTATTTATTAGGAACAGGTATTGAATACTACTAATATAAAATTATAAAATATATAATTAAAAATAAATTATATTTTACGATTCTGTAATAAAAGTCCGTGTTATCCGTGTGGCAACGGATTAAGAACACGGAGAGTCACCACCACTGTTTATCCCGTGGGTGTCGTAAGAGCCGACTGAGGTAACAAACTACGCAGGATAACAACAAAACAAACCCTATACCCACCCTTCTGGATAGCGTGGTATAGTAGGCCAAAAGGAGAGGCCTTTCTAAGGAGAGGCCTATGTCCAGCTTTGGGCTACTAAAGGCTGTTGATGATGATTAGTTTCCTAACTCATCTGTATAGTGCTCAATAGGCTTGCTAACTATTACGTAAGTGGGACTAAAACTATAATATTGACTGCCTCGGTGGTGCAGTGGTAGCGTATACGACTGCTGCGTTGACGTCTCGGGTTCGATTCCCGGGTCGGACAGAATGTTTCTATCATCATCAATCATCATCAACAGCCTTTAACAGTCCACTGCTGGACATAGGCCTCTCCTTAGAAAGGAGGTTTTGGCCTACTATACCACGCTGGCCAGACGGGTTGGTATAGGGTTTGTCTGGGCACGTCCTTGTGCTGGGGGACTTCAACGCAAAGTCCATTGCGTGGGGTTCCCCCAGGACGGACGCCAGGGGCGAGGCCGTAGAGGAGTGGGCGGCCTCGGTGGGCCTCTGTCTTCTAAACAGAGGCTCCACCAACACGTGCGTGCGACAGCAGGGGGGGTCGATAGTGGACCTTTCGTTCGCTACCCCTGCCCTCGCCGCACGAGTAAGGAACTGGTGTGTCCTGGAAGAGGTTGAGACGCTCTCGGATCACCTGTATATCCGATTTGAGCTCTCCCGGACCCAGGACTCCAGTAGGGGTCACGTGGCGCGGCGTTTATCCCGCTTTCCGCGGTGGGCTGTTGCCAGGCTGAACCGGGACCTACTAGAGGAGGCAGCCATAATTCACTCGTGGCTGTCTCCTCAGGCTCCGACCGAGGAGGTCGACGTGGGGGCTGGCCGCTTTCGCGATGCGATTACGCATGTATGCGATGCGGCCATGCCCCGCGTTCGAGGTCGTCGGCCTCCAAGGAAGGAGGTCTACTGGTGGTCCCAGGAGCTGGCGGACCTCCGTGCGGCCTGTACACGTGCCCGGAGGTCCTACACGCGCAGTCGGCGGCGTCACCGTGGAGACGGTGAGGAGGACCGGCTTCATGAGGAGTACCGACGGGCGCGGAAAACTCTGAAGCTGGCCATTAGCCGCGCCAAAAGAAGAAAAAAGACAGGAGATGCTGGAGGGTCTTAATCGTGACCCCTGGGGTCGCCCTTACCGCGCGGTGCGACAAAAGCTCCGCGCGTCGGGCCCCCCCCTTACGGAGACTCTCCAGCCCAGCTTCCTGCGAGAAGTGGTTGAGGGCCTTTTCCCACAACGGGCGGAACACACTCCCCCGTCGATGGCCTCCTTGGCCGGAGACGACGGGGAGCACGGGGAGGATAATGTTCCGCCCGTCCTGGAATCGGAGGTAGGGGCGGCTGTTCTACGGATCCGTTCCAAGAACACCGCCCCTGGGCCAGACGGGGTACCGGCCCGAGTGCTGGCCCTGGCCCTCAACCACATGGCAGACCGCCTCGGGGAGGTGTTCGACGCTAGCTTGGCGTCGGGACGCTTCCCTGAGTGCTGGAAGAGCGGGAAGCTGGTCCTATTGAGGAAGCCGGGACGGCCTGCCGATTCGGTCGCGGCCTATAGGCCCATCGTGCTGCTGGACGAGGCGGGCAAATTGTTTGAGAGGGTTCTTTCTGCCCGCATCGTCCGGCACCTCTGCGAGGTGGGCCCCGATCTGTCGGACGCCCAATTTGGTTTTCGGGCGGGGCGTTCGACGGTCGACGCCGTGTTGCGCCTGAGGGCCCTGACCGAAGAGGCCGTGAGCTGTGGCGGCG